ATGCTGCAGGCTTGATTAATTTAGTTCTTTGTATTAATGACATTAAAAATGCAGCCACACACATTCCTATAGAGGATTGAGGAAGTGTCATACAGCATGCTGAAACCTGCCCAGAACGGAGAGTGATGATGTCCCGATAACCAGGTTTAGTTTTGTTAAATCTGGCAGAGATTTCTGTGTGTAGTAGAACATCTCTGGATGTGGTTTCTATGTGTAAAGTGGCATCAACAAGGACTGACTGTGTCACAAGGATGGTGTTAGACCAAACAAATAGAAAGCTTTAAAAACTCCCAGAAATCTGAATAATGTAAACTTAATGTATAGAAAAGAGAGATCCTGTCTGTAGTTCACATAATTCTTCCTAATACGGGATCTCCATCTCATATGGAAAATCAGAAATGCCATCAATTGTACTTTTTCATGGAAAGCAGCAGAAGGATGTTTCATGGGAAGACTTCAGGCAGTCCCAGGCTGCGGGAAGAACTGTGCTTCGTGCATCTCTTCCATGCACCCTGGCTGATGCTCCTCCTTTATCTGTGCGGCGTTGCAGCTGAAATGAAAACTGACTGTGGCAACTTTTCACACAACCCCAGTGTTTGCTGAAAGTGGAAAAAAAAAGGAAAGAAAAATAGTGTTTTCTGATTTGTTACCCCTGAGTGAGTGAGTGAATGAGGGGCAGGTGGTCTGTTGAGATGCAGCCTCTGCCAGCAGTGATGTGGGACTGCACGGAGGCAGTCAGGCCAGATCCCCTTGGAGAAGAGGGGTGAGCAGTTTGACTAAGCTGCGGTGAATGTGTGGTGAGTTTTCAAAGGCAGGTGGAGAAAAAAGGAGGCAAGACTGGGGCAGTGTGACTGGTGGCAAGCCAGTTTGTGCATAGGAGGAACCGGATTGTGGCACTCTACATGCACAGGGGTTTGGAGAAACATGACTAAGGAGGAAGATTTTGGCTGCTGAAGGGAGAGGTAAGCCAATGTGTGGCAGAGTAGTGAAGTCCTCAGCTTTGCTAGAGGATTTAAATCGAGATACAAGGCTAATGTTCTGAATGAGAGAAACTAGTAAAAGGAACAATCCTTGGCCGTCAACACCATCAATAATGTCTTTTCTAAATTGAATATAACTCTTTAAGGCTGCTCCCAACCCTCACTCCACTGCACAGTTCCTGCAGGAGTGCTGCTCCAGCTTCTGCAACCTCTTCTTGGTTGTAACCCAGATTCATTCCTGGGTAGTTTGTCTTAGTTATCCTTACAGAAACAGCTCTTCTTGATGTTTACACCAATCTATTTTTAGAATGCAGTTATGCAAAGAATCATATGGCAAGGAGATTGTCTGCTTATCAGAAAGTGTCATAGGAAAAAAAATTAGAAGACGAGACAAAGATTCTGTGTCCCTTTAAAAGCAGTAGTTACATTGTTTTGTTGGTTGGATTGATAATTAAATTAACAAACTGTAATCTGTACAGGAGTGCAGGGAGTATTGAGTACGTATGTTGTGCTCAGAACTTGAAAGGAGAAGATGTGGTATTTCACTCTCTGAAAGTGTCAGTTCACAAGTTGAAGAACTGTCATTTCCAAATCTATCATGTACAAAAGGCTGTTGAAGAGGAAGATGGGACAGATGATTTTATCTGTCTCTTTGCTCAGGAGGAGCCAGGATATAAGTTAAGCATGCAGCAGAGGTTTTTGAGAGCTGAATGTTGAGGAGCAAGTATTTGGTGATGTGGCCAGTAATGGGAAGGCAGGGCAAATTGAAGAAGTTACCTCAGTGGACAGGTTAAAACCAGCAGAGAAAAAATGACTGCTGAGTAGGTATTTCTAAATCATTCTGGGGCTTTGGGGCATCATTGTAGTGTTTTTACCTAATCGTAGTGTGAAAATGAATGTGAGGAAGAGTGTCCAAGCAACATAAACTCAGTGTAGTTGAGCTGCTATTGCATTCAGGAAACCAAGAGCAAAATCACATCCAGTGGCACTACCTGTGCTTTCCTATTGCCTGCACCACCTCAGACTGCAGAATACCTGGGCTTTCAGTCCCCAACCTCCAGTACCATTTTCTTGCTGTTTCTACTATCTAATTAAGCCAGTATGATACAGCAGTTCATTAACCTTGCATTCTTTTCCCAAACAAAAATAAGCAGATTGCTTGCTGTTTTCTTTTCCCACACGTATCTGTGTATCTATATTTAGATTTCAGATTTAGAAATGAATTGTACCAGTTCCTGGAGTGCTGATTCTGTTCTAGCAGAAGGTAAGGTACTTAACAGTGTCAGTGATTGATTTTGGGAGGCCAGCTGGACAACTTGGCTGGATGCAGACCTTGCTTATGCAGAATTACTAGGTTTTAAATCATGCGAATCTGCAGAGTTACTTGACTGCAGAAATGCCTGGAGAAAAACAAAACAAAACAAAACAGTTTTTTGAGGAGCTATGCAGACTACATTCAATTTTGCACAGCTGGATTAGCTATCAGAACTAGGTGCCCAGGTCCCCATTGAATTTTTAGAGAACAGCAAGGCTCACTTTCTAGAGCCCACATTAAACATAAAAGGAAACAAAATGCTCAAATTCAGGCAACTGAATTTAGTGCCAGAGATAACACCACAAGAATAGTCCAGTTACATTGAATCATTTTATATCACCTCGCAAATACAGTGTTATTACTGTGCAGCTAAGCTCAGTATTAAACCAAAGGCACTGTTCACTTAAAAAAACCACATTTTGATCTCTTATGCTATAGGAAATCCCGGATAACTCTGCTTAAATCAGTGGAATGGAATTGAACAGATGTATAGCCTAGCAAAATTTACTCCTAAATCTAAGTGGAATTGATCTGTCTGCATGGGAGCTGCTAGGAGTATGTCAGACAGCTAAATTTATACAAAGAAAGATGGGAACTGAAGCGGGAAAATAGCTTCTGATGCAAAGGAAGTTTAAAAATGGATGCATTGTTAAATGAGGACTATTAATAAGTTTTATACATAAGTCTCTCTTATTTGAACAGTTTGGTTTTTTTAAAGTCCACTAACCCATGTCTTCACAGAGTAGAATTTCCTCAAGGTGTGAATTGTCTCTCAGTGTGTATGTACAGCCCCAGGCAGACAGAGAGCCAAAGCAGTAATTCAAACTTCTGAACATTATCATCATTCAAATAATAAATGGTTTAAAACACAGTGTCACTTTTAAACTGCTTTAGTGCAGATGGTCTTTTTCTTAATTCCCAGCCCTATAGTTAGTGAGCTGAGCTTATTGAACTGCTTGCCAATTCTGTTAAGAGCAGATGGAGTGAAACGGGATAAAGGCAATATTTCAGTTTGGCTCCCATGTATCAGCTCCCACCCCCAGATGCCATTATCAACATACATTTTACAACTCCACATCTCTCGCTGTCAGCGGTTAGAATTCTAAAGAGTTTGAGGATACTTGGATTGAATGTCAATAATCAGTACGGATGCTCATCTGGCTTAATAAGGATAAATTGCTGCCCTTGAAACAACACACCATTGCAGCAGTCACAGTGAACTAAGACTAGTTCCTTGATATATATACTAATTCTGGGTGTCTTTGTGCATGTGTGTGTGTGTGTGTGTGAGCACTTTTGTAATGCATTGGTAATGCTGTTCCCTAGCACTGTGGATTCCTCTTGTGTGCCTTATAATAATGTATTAAATTATTTCTTTTGAGTGCTCCCCTTTTAAAAGCTCATTTCTTCCACTTCAAGATGTCCTTTTTTTTTCCCTAAAGACTTTCATTACAAACTCTGTCTTTCTCAAAAGCTCCCAGTTTCCCCTTTTAAAGCCTGCTGACAAAACATGATAGGTGGGATTTTTAGAAGTGCTCACTGTAAGTGGACCATCGTTGCCTGTAAAGCCTGTGATCAAATTTTGTCCAGCTTTAGCTAGGTCAGATAGACCTCTGTGCCACAGACTTTAAATTAATTCTGATTGCTTAGGAAATACTGGTCCTATTCCTATGGGAAGCAGTTACAATTTTTACAGAAAACATGAATGTTCTGATCACAAAAAAATAATAGATAATACATAAACACAGCTAGCATCAAGATCAATGGATCCCTGGAGACCTGATTTTTGATGTTTGAATAAACAAAACAAGACATTTAGTAAATAAAACAGGCCAGAAGTCATCCTCTGGCCCTCAGACTAGATGTGCAATCTATGGCCAAATGGCTAAGCTCCTTCTCTGTAAATAGCAGTGGCGGCATGCAGTTTTCCTTGTGGAACTTGTCCCAGGCATTTTCTGAGAGACTTCTTGTCACCAGGGCCAGCTATGGCAGGGACCATGCTGGCAATGTAAAAGTATGGGTGACTGGCCATGCTGCACCCATACCCTGGCACATTTTACTTCAGAAGTACTAATATGATGAATATTCCAGAATTTTCACTAACCTCCACAGAGGTTTTGTGACTTCAGATCTATTTCTGTTGCAGGGATGTCCTCCACCTCAATTTATTTTCAAAGTTAACAGGAGCTCTGTAACCTATCTGTCAGACGCAGAAAAATGTAAGTTTGAGAAGGTGTGGAGGCTGCAGGAAGCATCCAATATTGCTGAGACTTGCTGGTAAAATGTTGAGGTGGAAGTTTACAGCATTATTTTCCTCTTCCCCAGATGCCTAGAAGCCTTCCATCCGTGAAGTCTATACTGTCAATAAATTTTAAATGCCAATAGCAGGACATGACAAATTCCATGCCAATAGCAGTTAAAATGGGAGCTTCTGTGATCCACGGTATTCATTAAAGCTCTCTTTGACCCCTGTATGCCAGGAGTTAGTGTAAGAAGGCCTCATATTTGCTGTGTCTTGACACTGAGTGCAAGAATGACAGATCCTTTTCTTGGCTGGGAGCTGAGTCTATATCCCTTCATCTCAAGTGAGTAAGTGTAGTTTCACTGTGGGAGTCCAGTATCCCAAAGACACGCTGCTGTGCGGTAGTTTCCGTGGGCTGGAACCAGTCACCCATGTTTTAATGTTTGCTCATGTAATTTTTAACCTTCTGTTTCTTTACCTTTCCCGGCAGATTTTTATTGGTGAGATATCCATGTATTTCATAAAGTCAACCCGAGAAACCCTAATTATTCAAGAGAAAACTATTTTGACTGGAGAGTGCTGTTACCTGAACCCACTGCTTCGAAGAATAATACGTTTTATAGGTAAGCATCCTAAGCACTGCAAGCTTAGTTCCTGTTTGCACCAAAACAGAACAAAACATCCTAATAACCTACACCACAAAATTAATTAAGCTGTGAAATCTTTGCAGGAGTCTTCCACCTTAGAGGGATAGTCCCCCTCGGGATTTGCAAGGTAACATTCAAAATGTGCCATATCATGCTGTCTGGAGCTGGTTCTATTCTGCTGAGCTTAATGCTTCTTCTGGACCCTTGAAGAAAGGTTGTGCCAATCAAATCCTTATATGAATAATTCCATCATTGCTATTCTGTGTAAGCTGCCCATTTTACTTACAAATTGGTCTTCACCAGCCCATCTCTTTGGCATTTTTCTTTTCAGCTCTAATTTTAACATCCATAGCTCTGCCACATAATGTTCAGCTGAGCACAGTGTAAAAAAGCCCAGAGCCCACTTCAAAATAACATTCTTATTTTTATTGTATTTGTTTTTCGTTAGAGTTTTCATTGAGTTAATTGCTGAGAAATGAATGAAGAAGTTCTGTCACAAAACCATTTGGAGGTTGCTTTATATGGTGCTTGCAAACCGCTATGCCTTTTTCACACTGTAGACCATAGGAAAAAATGCCTATGAGACCTTACTGAGGGGACCGTCCCATGGTTCTTTTGGAGCAGGAAGAGGAACAGCATTGCAGCTTGTGTTTCTGCTGTGGTACTGACAGAAACTCTGGTTGTCCTCTGAAGGCTTCCCAGTTTACAACCATTGAGGGATACCCAAACTGCACCCTCCAGTGTTTAGAGATGAAGAGGGCTGATTGCTCACTTACGGCTTCCTTGTCACTGCAGAGTAAGAAGAGGGCAGCTCTGAACTGCATGTGCAATGGAACAAAAAGCTGAAGATACCTGGATCAATTCTTCACTGTCACTGCTGAATTTTTGAGCTTTATCTGGAAGAAAAATATCTGCTGTCACTAGGGCAAGGGTTGTATCACTTCCATGGAGCACAGTCCTGGCTGCAGACAGGGATACTTGCTCAGAGCGTGGAGGTGAAAGTCTTATCCTGTGCTAAGGTTTTAATTAGCACCAAATATACGTACCAAAGGGGGAAGAGCCATGGTTTTCTTTCTCCCTCTCCACTCTCTGTGCCCCCTGTTTTATGTGTGAAAGTTAGGAAGTGAAATGGTTTTTTACCTTCTTCCACACTGGGAGTGAAGACAAACCAGCTGTGATTCATTGCTCAGGCCTGGCCTGTGTGCTGCTGCTGAAAACAAAATACATTGGGAGTGTACTCAAAAGTAAAATACCCTTGAACTTCAGATAACCTCTAGGATATATTGATGGATAGTAAACTGCCATTAAGAGAGAAGCAGGGTACTGGAGTCCACTGGACCACTCACGGCTGTTTGTCTGTTCCAGCTCTTTCAGCGTGTTGCAGAGTTCTAATCAAATACTCTTGCCTGCGGGATCAGCACTAAAAGAGCTTAGACCATGGAAGTTAAGCACTTGCTTTATATGTTTTCTTATAGTTAGCTTTTTTCTTAAACATTCATGCTGTTGTTTCTCTTTTGGTGGAAAAGCAGAGGGTAGCAATGATACAGTGGACTCTCAGAGAGTAGGAGGATGTAAACTCTGACAGAGAAATCAGTCTTGGCTTTGCAGCTTTTTCTTCCTGAGGAAAAGGAAGTTAACATTATTAGGAATGGCTTAAAGTGTAGGTCTCAACTTAAACTACACAGATTGTTCTCTTGTTTTCTTCTGAAACCTTTTCCCTGCCTCTCTGGTAAAATGCGAGAAGTAGAGTTTGTTGAAGAGCGGCTGAAATAATTTATGAAAGGAACTAAAAATAACTGTACGTTTTAAATTTAAATTCCTCCTGCATTTTGCACACATGACATGGATTGAACAGCTGTAGCCCATGTTGGATGATCAGGCAAGTTAGGTCCATACAACTGTTTACTCCAAAAAGAGGCTGCCTGGGTGCTTGGCTCTGGAGAGTCTACCGGGTTGCTCACGCATGGATTTCCTTGCCTGTGTCTTCTCTTGCTTAACTTGAGGGCCATAATTTACAGAGCTGATTAAATAGGTTGCCTTCCAAGATAACCTAGTAATCAGTCTGGCTTGTTACAAAGAAGTTTGCTACCAATTTAGTCTTGATACAAATGCATTGGAATAGCAACATCTGATGATTTCTTTTGGCCCAGATGTGTGACCAAGAGTCTCAAGTGAGTACCTGCAGAACAGTAGTAATTGAACTTCTTGAAATATTACCTTATAAGTCGTTACAGTTGGTATTACTCAAAAAGATGAGAAAAATCCTTCATTATGTTTGGCTGGTCACACATCAGGAAAAACGAACACTACTTCCTGACCCTGCAAGGTGCGTCATGGAGAGGTTTTGAGAGTTGCTATTCCCAAATTTTAGGACAAAGAGGCTTTTTCTCCCTCCCTGACACTATAATTAGAGTGCTGGGAAGAGATGGGGTTTTAAGAATAGTAGCCTAAATGTGCTTTCCACAAAACAAGGAGAAAGTTATACATACTTCACTGAATATTCACTAGATTTTGTAAGGAAAGAGAAGCAAAAAGGGAAACTCCAGACTATCTTTCGAAGATGTGAAAGATAAGCACCTTTGTCATACTACCTCCAAGGGGTCTTTTGGGTTTGGTTGCTAGACTTAAGCCTTTTCCCTTCTTGCTTTTTCTTCATGTATACCGAATGAAGCATTTTTTTGCACGTTGATAGCAGTGCAAACCATTAAGGAAGACCAAAAACTGGCAACTCTTACGGGATGTGGTCAAAGCCCCATGTTTATTTTCTTTTATTTTTCTTGTCTTGCCTACTATGCTCTTTGCTTATTCTCTTTTTGTTTTCCTCTCTTTGTGAGGTTCTGTCCTCCTTAGTTTAGTGGGAACCTTTACCTTACCAACAGGAGTAAATACGAAGTACCCCTACAAGCCAGACACATCTCAGAGCAGCTGCTTGTTATTTTTCTTTGGCGTGTATTTTTTTGGATATGAGACACCTTCATCTTCCTAACCCCAAACAGACAGAAGAACAGAACACACTGTGCCTATTGTGGGCCAGACCCTCTGCTGACATAAATCAGATTCTCTTCATTGAAACCAGTAGAGCTGTTGGGGTTGATACAGATTTGGACTCTGATCTCTTACACCGGCCTCTCACAGATGGAAGATACAGCTTCACTTAACAGATTTCACTGTGCTTCACAAAATAACACAGGTCTTCAGCTTTTTCTTAAATCCTTCCCTGGTTCTTTGCCCACAGGAAACAGAATAAAAATTTCATCTTGCTTCCTGGCCCAGGCATGAATTTTGCATGTTGGTAGACATTTGCTTTTGTGGTGAAGGGCTGCCTCTCAACTTGCTTCGGTGTACGTCAAGTCCTTTACTGCAGCCTTGGCTGGTGAAACCTGCTGTGTTCCAGTATTTGGAAAATCATTTCCTTTATCACTGAAAAAAAGCTGTCTTGGCTTAGAAACATCAGACTTTGATATATGTTCCATTTGTTCCATCTTCCTCTTTATCTTTTATAGCTGTTTCCACAGACATTTATTTTGAAGATTTTCAGGTCAAACAAGTGGTGTGTAATTGCTTTGGTGCAGTTTTTTCTGTCTGAAATATTGGTGCTGCACTGCTATGCTTTAGTCACATCATCTCTCCTCCCTCCTCTCCCACCCCTCCCAGCAGTTTTATTATGGATTGCTGCTACCAAAATTTGCTGTTTACGTGCTAGACCTTTGAGAAACCAGGGGGTAAGAGTGGTTGTTTCTTGGGCCTCTTTTTCTTCTCCCTGACTATCAGCTTGGGTACATGCAGCCTTTTTGTATTTTCACCCTTTCCTGTGGTGATTTCCCATTCAGTACTTTGTTAACATCTTGCCATCTTGCATTTGCTTCCGTGTTCTACTTCATCATTTTTATTGCAAATAGAGGTTATAAATTATTTTAGCATTATTTAGTGAATGGCTTCAGTTAAGGATTTAATCTTTTTATATACAGCTGCTATCATACGCCCAGGATCATGGATTCAGACGTCCCTGACTCAGTTTGGCAGAGCAACTAGAGACTGTATTGTGTTTCATTTCACTATATGAGGTTTCTAATCCATGTGATTAAGTTGTATACCTGCAAAGCCCTGATAACATGCAAGTAGCCTCTCTTCAGTTCAGATATATAGAAATGCAACATGCTTAATGAATTTGTTACCAGTGGCTTTTAGTTTGGACCTGCATAATTTGCAGTTAACAAATGGCGCAGATCAGCTTCTGCTGACAGCTTAATTTAAAGCACAGTGACACCTCACAGTGGGCAGCTAAATAATGAAATTAGGGCTTTATTTCAGCAAATTAAGGCTTTAGTTCAACAAATAAAGGTTTACTAGATTTATACACACATTGAGTTTGTTGTAATAGGATAGATATACCCCAGAGCTCTAATGTGAATCCCCGAGGCAGCTGCAGGACGCAGTTTGCCTGACCTTATCCTTCTGTCTGCCTTGGAGCTGAAGTTCACTGGGAAACAATGCACATTCTGTTATTAACTGGCTGCCTTTCAGCAGTGCTCAAGCTGTATTTGGGTGTGCTGCCTCTAACCTGAACTGCTGCAGCAGCTTAAACTCCTGTATGTTTCCCTTCTTATTGCTGAAGAACCTCCACAATGAGAAACAGGTCACTGTTGGGGACAAAGCAAACGTTACTGTTCCCTTTTATGCCAGACTCTGAGCTGGCTGTTGTCTAGATGAAAAACTGATAGTTGTGAAGCAGCGAGGAAGCAAGAAATCCTGTTTGTCTGTGGGGAGGAGCCTTGAGGCTCCAGGGTACTTTTGTACTCTGTTTTTAGAAAATGAATTTCGTCTTGCATGCTGAGACCACGTGTCTCCCTTCTTGTGTCTTCAGGGAACAGTATCCAGGCAAGCTGCTCACAGGTGAAGCAGGCAGGCACAAGAGGCGGTATATGCCTGGAGCAGTGGGCTTTTTGGGGTCTTCTCTGGGAGGTCAAAGCCAATCTTGGGATGAGATGAGTGCTTGAAAGAAGCTTGCTGTTGAGCCTGTTCCTGATGCCATGGCAACAAACAATAAATTTCCCTGCAACTCCCATCTCTTCAGTTGTAAAATGGATTAATGATACAGATCTCTTTTAACAACAGCCTTTAAGATGTAATGACGAAGGGTGGTTTAGCAGAGTCTGAGTCACAGGACTATAAATGTATGGCTTTATTGGATGCACAGGACCATTAGAGCAAAACCTTCAGAGACGGGCTGAGGATCAACATTTCCATAGAGCAATGAGTCCTTCCAGGGACTCCCTCCATTGAAATTCTCATATTCTGTGAAAAATATAGGGGTGGAGAAGGGGTTGGGTAAGTGTGAGTGTGCATGTGTAATATGAACATTTTCCAAGCAAATTAGATTGAGTGTGACAAATTCAGAAAATTGACTGGGCAGTGGAAGAGAGGAGTGCCTAAATAAATGCACTTAGTAGAAGACATGACTATATGTTACTGAAGATCACACCTTCTGATGTCTCATGAGCCATTCAATGCATTGTTTCTTTTGTCACTTTACTTAAGGGTTTCATGGTTTTTCTCTAATAAAACCTTCTACCTCCTCATTCTCATTTCCACCCACTGGCTTCTCTCTCCCCGATGTCTTTTCAGCTGCTCTTGTACAACTCCCAGGGTTTCTTTGTTGATTTTTTGTTGCTGGGTTTTTTTGTTGGTTTGTTTCAGATCAGTGGCATTTTAAATGTCTGTAGTAGAGTTTCCGTGGAGTCAACAAGCAGCTGCAGTCACTGATGTTAGAGGCATTCAGGGTGGAAGAAGAGAAAGGCTGAGCATGAGTTGCAGGAAGAAGACAGGGTGGTACTGAGATGAGAATGCGCAAGGAGAGCTGGATGCTTCTTCAGGGCAGATGCCTCTGTTAGCAAAAGCAATAGACAGAGGTGGAGGTGGCAACACTGATGAACACCCACACAGGGAGGTCAGTAGGAGAAGGATTGTTAGAGTAACATGTGAGTGAGAGCCCAGAAATTATGGGTTCCTGCTTGGAGGACTTTTTGTCAGCAATTTAGAGGGAGGTGTAAGTGGAGAAATTAAAAATTAAGCATTTGAAATGGAAGCTGCTGAAGATTTAGATTCTTCTGCCAATTCAAGTGTTAGTTCAGGTGAGAGGGAGCTGGAACATTTTAAGGTTAATGTTTTCTGTCCTCAGCATCTTTGAACAGGCCTTTCCTTGTTTTTTTCTTTTTTTTAGTTTGCACATTTAGTTTGTCTGAGGTCTTTCTCACTGGAGGTAAAGATGCGTTCAAATCTGATCCTCAGTTACTTATTCTTGGACTCGGGGAGACGTAAAGAGAGTAGCAGGGAGTACAGGCTGCCCTCTTATCTCTGGCCTAAATTCATCTCTCTCCCAGTTACATTCTGCTTACTGGTTTGCCTTCTAACCTCTTCTTTTCGGCTGCTCCTGGCACACACAAGCAAGCTGGGAGCCAGGACAGTGACAAAAAGTCAGGAAGCCTTTCCAGAAATAGCTTCTGCTCTTTCTTTAAGGCCTCTTTGTACAGCTGGACTATGTGACACATGTGGATGAGGGGAAGGAGTGGCTTTGTGTAAACAGAACTAACCTCTGTCCATCCTTTCTGCTAGTAACCAACTATAGAGGCTGTAAATCTTCTTCCCATGTGGCTTGCACTGTTTATATCTTAGCATTTGCTAAGTTCTAGACTAAAGTTCATTTCCAGGTGTTCTAGGGCAGAGTAAGCACAGTGAGACAAAGCAGGGTAACATCACCTTGCTCCTTAGCAGGGTAACATCACCTCCCATTATATGCTTGAGCATCTGGAAGAGGTACATGATCCCATTCTCCCTCTGCGGCATTGTATCATGGGCTTCAGCTGTATGACCCTGAATAGGTAGGGCTAGTTACCCTTCCCGTGAAGCCTTTCAAGAGCAATTTGTCTGCCCCTAAAAACCTGGTAGTCATGTCACTACATTCTTGTACTCTGGTCAGTTAGCTTAGCTGCTGCAGGTCATTGAACAAATCCATTGAGCAGATGGATCCCTGAGGTACAAAAACCATCAGGGGACTCTCCACCACTACCCAGGCTCACTGGTGTGACAGCCTTTAAATCAATTACAGCCAACCCAATCTCAAAGTCTCCGGAGACTATGTGATGTGTAATCAGTCTGCAAGGGTTAAATTCCTGCTAGCTGAATTAATTGCTGCACATAGCTATGGTTTTCATAAGGCGCAGTTTGGCAGAACTGCAAGAGGGGAATTACAGTGATCAATATGCATCACAGTCAGAGCATGATAAAGGTTTCAACCACGGCTTGTTCTGCTGTTCTGCAGAGTACTGTAGCCCTCAGCACTTGGGTCTGGGCCAGCACTTTCCGTGCTACCAAATATTGAGAAAATGCAGGTGTTGCAACTTCTTTTTTTTTTTGGAGAAAAACACTGGACCACCTTTGTACCTGTGCATTGCCTAAAGATCAGAGTAACTTAGTGAATCCCATGAGCTTTTCCTGAAAAACCTTGGTTCTTGCTTTGTACTTATGCAATAAAGACTGTGGGCCAGACTGCGGTATTTGCCTGGCTCTTAGATTTCCTCTGAGTATTGTAAAGGGCTGGGTAATTATCCTCACTGCATTTCCTGAGATTTGCACAGCGCATCAAAAAGATGCCATTTAAAGCAAGCTGTGCCAAAAAATTTTAAGAATTTGGCCAAAAAGCCATATAAAAAAAGATTAATCTCTAGCATAACTTGCTGTTTCACCAAGCTAGAAAAATACCTACTGCTTTTTTCATTTAAAATTGCTTGTGCCCTGGCTAATGTAGATGAGGAGTTCTGCTGGCTATGGAAAACCATGGATTTAAAATATTAGCAGTGGAATAAAGGAAATAAAGGAGCACTGTCAGTGCTCTCTCTGTTTCCCTTTTAAACACAGACACTTCACAGGATAAACAAGGGGAAGACTGTCATGCACTAAAAAGACAGGGGACAGTCCTGCAGTCTAGAACCAGAGGAAGGCTACTTCCTTCTTTGACCACCACTGGCTTTTAAAATCCATGATCTTGCATCCATTCATTAGTAATGAATTATAATAAACTCATATAATAAATAGTAATAAACTCAGTCCCCAAAATCATCTTCACTGTGGTAATGCTCCTTCCAGACCCTGGTGAGGACAAACCGCTCTGGACCCCTGCAGCTGCTCCAGGCTCTTCCCATCAGTCCCCAGCGAGGAACTGGTGTTCCAGCTCGGCGGTATCCTTCACACCACGCTGTCTCTGTCAGCGAGTGGCACTGGCAAACCCCACTGGACACTTGTACAATGAATCCATGTTTTGTTATGGGTTTTATTTTGTGTTCCTGTTTGTACAAGCGTCCTGTGTGTAGATAGGACCTGACCTTGCAGACCTTCTGCGTTCTGTTAGCTGCATGGTGGGTGACAACATATGCAGAGTGATCCTTGAATCTTGTTAATTTGATGTAAAGCATTTTCTGCTGCATTATATTGCTAACTCCCTGATACTTTTTGTTTCTCAGACTATAGCAGTCTTTTTTTCTTTTTTGTGGTGGGTTTTTTTTTATTTGGGTTTTAAAAAAAAAAACCAACTCAGTACAGATAAGCAGTGAAGTTGTTCTAACCCTGGTGGTGCCAGCTCTTAAGATTTTATCACAGCTCTCCTAAGATGTTTTCCCTGGAGCTCCAGCTCTTGGTCGTATTTAAATACGTAGGAATCTCAGCTAATTTATAATTTAAATTACTTTTGCTTACAGAGCTATAGGAGGGAGAAAGCAAAATAATATGACCTTCAATATTCGCACACCAAAAATAAATATTTATTTGTTCGAATTTTTTATGATACTTTAATCCACCTTAGTGGTGAGAAGGATGAAAGGGGAGCCAATTTGGTCTTTCAGAATGTTTGAGTTTGGCATTTCTTAGAACCTCCTGTTCTGTTCCTTTGTTATGTAGGCAGTACCTGCAGGTAAAAGATCCTTGTATATGTTCATAGCAACTGTAGCAGGTATTGATAACATTCAGGGGGGGTCAGTGGAGGGTGTGAAAACTGCAGTATGGAGCAAAGGTTGCTCCACAATCCTGGAAATGTTCCTGGGTTCAAGTGAATGCTTCCTGCTATAGCATTTGCAGGTATTCCCAGTGACATGAGCTGAACTGCATCTGTGTGGAAATATCTTCTAGAGCAAAGCATTAGGATGTTTCCCAAAGAACCTACCAAATATTGATAGATCAGGATCTTAATTTTTCAACATCAAGACGATGAATAGCCACAATCCAAAAGGTACTTGACAGTAGATAGTCATGTTAAGTGCAGTATCATGTCTCAGCACTATGCTGCTCTTCCAGGTTCAGAGCCATTATATTCCCTTTTTTTTTTTTTGTCCCAAATGTAGTAAAAATACAGAAACATTTTTAACAACTCATGTGCATGACAGTTGGCTGCAGGCTGTGAGCTTTTGTCATAGTGGAAACTTCACAGACATAGCATAGGTGCAGAGTTTTCAGTGAAATCTGTAGCTCACAGTTCTGTTCAGAGCTGGACTCACAAAAGTACTTCAGCACATGCTTGTCATTTTCAACCTGTTTGAGTCCTTCTGGAGTTGCTGAGTTAAGCACCTGTCAGAGTTAAGCATGCGGTCTTGTGTGCCATGCCTTTGGTGCAGGACTCTGTTGGAGTCAGCAGGGGCTTTTTCTGGGTAATGACTGCAAGGTTTGGTCCCTTACTTCTCATTATGTCTCTTCCTTTCAGGTACCAAGGGGGTTTTTTTTGAAACCCATTTGAATAATAATTATTTTTAACCTTTCCTCACAGGAGTGTTTGCGTTTGGACTTTTTGCAACTGACATATTTGTAAATGCTGGCCAGGTTGTGACTGGAAACTTGGCTCCCTACTTCCTGACTGTATGTAAACCCAACTACACTGGCAACGACTGTCGGGTCCATCACCAGTTCATAAACAACGGCAACATCTGCACCGGGGATGTGGAGGTGATTGAAAAGGCAAGGAGATCCTTTCCATCCAAACATGCTGCTTTGAGCATTTACTCAGCTTTATATGCCACGGTGAGTGCCAGAGATCATTGCTTACTTGTATGAGAGGTTTCTGTATGTGCACCTAGGTGGGGCCATTTTTCTTACAATGGGTTTTGAAGGAAAAGAGCATTGTTTTGAGGAGAGCTTTCTTCTTTATCTGCAGGCGAAAATCCCCTTCTGTCTTTGTTTTACCAATCCTAGTGTAAGCAAATCAAATGCTCATTGCTTTTGAGGCACTGTATGATGTGGAGGCATGAGGTCCTAATCTTGTCTTTACTGCTGATTTTCTCAGAGGCCTTTGGGTATACATTCAACCTCTTTTTCTCCCTGCCGCTGTCTCGTGAACATTAAGATGAAGTTGATGTTTAAGTGGCTCCTGGTTCTCTACCATTTCTTTTGTTCTCATGCCATTTGTTGTAGAACATTTAAAATGTAAATTCAGCCACTTCAATAGGAGGCTGAACTAGGCTCAATTTTGCTCCCTTTATTTAGGACCTGAACTCTCCCTGCAAATAGGTTTGTAGTAAAAGTCCATGCCAGAATTTTGTTGTTGTCACAGAGAAATGGACCCCAGTTAGCATCTTGACAAGGTCACACTGCTGTACTGTCAGGAAGGAAATTGTCTGGTTTTTTAAAGTCTAATGAAACACATCAACTTTGTGTTCTCTTGCTAATGTTTCTGTCATGTTTGAAAACTGATCAGAGAAGCTTACTCACAAAGTAGAAAACCTTGGTGGTTTTGCCATTAAGATCCAAGGACTTAACCTGATTCTGATCTCAAAATGGCTTACCTAGGTCTTTTTACCCCAATAGCTTGACTCATATGAGTGGCAGAGTCTGTCTCTAGGTCATTGGGATTTAAGTAATGCCTTAAACTTACTAATGACAAGGTATTTACTGAACATTTTACCCTGATCTTGATAGCAGATGAATAAAACACGACGTTATTACTATAAAATGAAGAGGCCACCCACTGGTGTTTCAATATCCGTTTGCACTGAATGTTGCGTGAATAATGATGGGGTTATAAGTTGGTAACTCCTTTGATCAGGATTTGTTGGGAAGTGTTTGGAAAGCACATTACTTCTGAACAATAAGCAACTGCCTGTGAGATACAGTTCCAAATAAATTTAACATTGTTGTAGAAGATGTTTTCATCATTATAAACTCCTCAGTGGAAACTTCAGGATGAGGCTTGGTCCTGGTTCGGCCCTAAGCTGGTTAGATCCTTTCAAGGACTTCCTGTGCCCAGCCTCCCTTGTTCCCTAGGAAGGCAAGACTTCTACAAACAGGCTGATTTCTACAACTGAAGGGGAATAATGCTTTTCCTTCCTCAGTTTAAGTCCCCAGTACTTCAGCATTTCTGAGCCCTAGTCTTTCAAGAGTGGAGTGCAGTGGCCCTGCACTTCTCCCCACATAGGAAGATACCAGGTGGGGCCAGTACATGGAGTTATTTCTGAGCCACAAGGTCATAAAAGTCTTCCCTAAAGGTAATTTAGCCTTCAGTCCAATTTTAGCCCAGCTTTCTGCCTGAAAACACCCTCTAGCACTAAGGTGTTGTCATCTGTCTTTTCTCTGCCTGTCAGCTGGGATCAACATGAGCATTACACAAGAAATGCAGTGTTCAGATCTGGCTTTGCTTAATAATTGTGCTGTGCACAATTTTTTGAGAAGTGTGTTGCTAATTCTAATATAAGCGATAATGTGAGCTGCTGAACATAAAACACGGGGTATTTGGTTTAACACTAGTTGTGTTTTGCTTAAAGCTGATGATTTGAGACATGGCGCAAGAAAAATAAGACAAGTCCCACATGTGGAGGCAGGAGAATGGAATCCACACGAGCATTTTCTTCCAGTATATAAATGTCTGTTGAGGTCTAGGACTCTCTGCCCATCACTGAACCTCAAGTACCCTCTGCAAATGTCTCTGCACTGATTTCTTCATTAGTCTGCTAGCAACAGTACTCCCAATGTGATTGGTTTGGCTTTGTGGCTTGTGTTTTTTTTTTTATAATCTGGATTTTATATTTAATCAAGTAGGCTTTTTCTTGTCACCTGCCAAAGAAGCTGAGGAGAACCCAAAACATCACTTTTGTCATCTCTGCAGGCAGAGATTAATCTTGTATGCTTAAAGTAGGGGAAAGAGAAAACAGCCAGCAGCTCTGGCTTCCATAGTTACACAAAAATTAGAATAGCATGTAATGAAGTTTTATTAGTCTCCCAGAAGTATGGCAGGAAGAGATGTCAGTCACTGTACATGGTGCACACTGCTGTACAGTTAGAAACACACGCTTCCAAGTACCTTTCCCAAGGGAAAATGATAGGCTGGGAATATCCTTGATCCATTAAGATTGCTGTCAAAAAAACAAAAAACAGATGACAAAATCATAGGTTGCATATGGATATCCCAGTTACATCAGCTTTAAACAACTGTTCCTTCATGCTCTTTTGAGAAAGTTCATGGTAGAGTCAATGACAAGAACATCTAACAGATCATAGTGTTCAACCAGAACGTGGATTAAGTATTTCACTAGCACAAGTGGAGAACCTTTTATTGTAGAGAGATGGTAGATATCACAGAATCATAGAATGTTGTCAGTTGGAAGGGACCCAACAAGGATCATGGAGTCCAACTCTTGCCCTAGCATAGGACAATCCTAGGATTCAGCCCATGTGTCTGAGGACCTTGGCCAAATGCTTCTGGAATCTTGTCAGTCTTGGTGCCATGAGCACCTCCCTGGGGAGCCTGTTCCAGTGACCCACCACCCTCTGACTCAAGAACATTTTCCTAATGTCCAACCTCACCCGCCACTGACACATCTTCCTGCCATTTCCCCTGGTCCTACCATTGGTGGCCAGAGAGAAGAGATCAGCACTTGCCCCTCCTCTTCCCCTTGTGAGGAAGTTCTAGACTGTGATGAGATCTTCTCTCTGTCTCCTCTTCTCCAGACTGAACAAACCAAGCAACTTCAGCCTCTCCTCATGCAGCTTCTCCTCTAAGCCCTTCACCACTTTTGTGGCCTCCTCTGGTCACTCTCCAGTAGCTTTAGATCCTTTTTATACTGTGGCACCCAAAACTGCCCCCAGTAATGGAGGTGAGGCCGCACCTGTTTGCCTCTGGAGCGAAAGCAAGAATTGTTTTACAGTCACAATTGGTTCTCTGTGGTTGAAAGATGTAACTAATCACTTATATTAACTGTTTAGCAGAATTTTTTTAGAAGTCTTCAACTAAGCTTTTGCCTAGCAGCATCCACAATAATGCTTTCTGTCACCTCCATCTGGCTAGAAGACTCTACCTCATCACACTGGATGGCAACCTGTCATCTGTCGTTTACACCTGGGTGCATTGCTTCTTGATTAGATTAGAAAGGTGCAATACACCTGGACACGAAACTTTCAACATTTGGGAAGATCTGAATAGCAGAGAACACTACAGCAAGTCCCTTCTGCAACCCAGGTCACCATGACCCCACCAACAATTTCTTCCATTTCTTCATTAACACCTACCAGACTAATCAATGAAATTCAAGGCCTTGGCACTTTGAGCAGCTGCACTGAGCATCTAGGAGACTGCATCACGTTCTACAATACACATCATTATCAAAGGCTCTACTTCTTTCTTACTGTAGAAATCTCTATGGTAGAGGAAAACATTGTCTGTAGAGCTTGTAGGACACAGAATTTTCCAGTATTGATATGAAATTATGAACTTTAGAAGAAAAATAAACTATCACAAATCTCCTCGCTTTCTGCAGAAGGCCAAGACAGAATTCAAGTCTTTCTTTCTCATCACAGATATTACACACATTCTAAATATATCTAAGCATATATTTGCATATATATATATATGTATGTATGTCTATTTTAAACTTGCAAACAAAAAAAGCCTCTTTGACTGTCTGTGCTTTTGTCTGAAAAGAATGGGAGAGGAATTACAAACGGTGAATGCTTCTATCACACATTGCACATTGCTTAAATACACTGCTTGAGTGTACTGATGAGAGCACAGCAAAGAAGCTGAATAGATAATTTATATAGTTAAATCATATGTAGTTTATTTTTAATATGATTTATTCTGTTTTCTTTACATCTTTTTGTATTCATTTCCTTCATCCCTCTCCCGCACAACAAATAATTGGTTTTCACATTTAGAGTTTTGTAACTAAATTTACCTTATAAATGGCATTGTAGGAAATTTTACAGCAAAAACACCTGTTCTGTGTAGGAAATCAAATGTAAGTGACTTTCACTGAGATTTTGGGCTCTTACACAAAGCTTTGAAACCATGCTGTAAGTGAAAGAATGAACACATTGTGAGAATCTTAAAAACATCTTGGCTTTAGGGAGCAGGATAATAAAGATCAAACTGCAGTGACCAGGAACTCTGACCAGAATGGAGAAGCTCTCCCAGTTATTCCTGAGCTCATTGTGTGATTGATTTATGGATGAAGTGGAGCATACCTTCTGCAAAACCAGTTTGGCTTGTTTTAAACCCTCCTCATGAAGGTTTAACAGAATTCCCTTGGCAATCTGTTTGCATGGTTAATTACCCTCATTGCTAAAAATGTTCTCTTTACTACAAGTTTACATTTTCCTGACGAGGTGCATGAAACTTTAAACACATGAGATACTTCCCGTCTGTAAAAAGGAGAAGTTTCCCATGTGGGTAACCCAGAGATCCAGCTTCATCTCATACCTGTAGGAAAACAAGCATGTGTGGGTTATTCTCTGTAGCGAGGGTTTGCAACTGTCACAGCAGAACTGCATTGTTACTTTAAAGGGATGATTTTTAAAGTAACAATGCAGTTACTTTTCCTTTGGATGCTGCAAACCACAATAGTGCTTTGGTGGGGAATAGGAAAGCAACCTGGCTCCCTATTGCTCGTTTGAATTGGCTTCTGCTAAAAGAAATACATAGGATGAAAGGATGGGCAGTAATTATTCACACAGTGGCAGTTCACAATATTTTTTTCCTATTGTTTCCAGAGAACCTTAACGTGAGTCTCAGTGATGGTCAGGTGGAGCTCAGCCTACCAGCAGGCTGGGGCACGATTGCCGCCTAGTGCTCAGTCGCTCGCTGCCATCTCAAGGCGTGTGCTGCAGCCAGGTGTTGGGCTGGAGAAACAAAGCAAGCAGGAACCTCTCGAGTAGCTTAGTCCCATTCCTATTACACACCATAATATTCCAGTTCATAAACTGAATTCACCTTTAAATGATGTGCTCAGCAGCACGTTTAAGGGCAAAAGACTTCAATTCCCCAGGCAGAGATCTGGCAAATTTAGCTGTTAGAAATCTAGCACTACCATTTTTTTGGGTCTCATTTTGCCTACATACAGGTCTGGAGGCAGTCAGATCTGCCTTCTCCTGTTTGGTTTTCTGAGGCAGCTTCACCCCAGCTTCACCAAGCCATTGTAGTCTTGGCCAGAGACTGTTGGTGTGAGCCAGCATGGTGTCCTTAGCTGCTGCAGCAGCAACAAAGGAGAAGAACCCTTTGGTCTCTACCGTCCTGCAGAGTCTGTCTCTGATTTCAGTGCTGCCCAGCGCTCAGCTGTGCCCTTCCTTAGAAATGAAGTCATCGCAGAGAAAGATGAGGTTTGTGACCTGCAGACAGCAAAATCAGAGATCCTAGTTGAGGTGTTATTGCGGATGTGGTTAAAACAATACAGACCTTCTACAGAGTCTTTTGTCCAGAAGATTAACAGAACCATATTTCTGTTTCTGACAACTGAATAAAGGTCAAGAATGAAAATACTTTCAGCTTTGGTGATTTTACTTATTCTTACCAAAAAACCCCCATATTTTTTCTTTATAAATAAAATGGCATCTTTTTATATTAAACACTGAAAGTGACTCTTCCATGGTTTGTAATCTTTCCATTTCCCAGGATAACCAGTCTTTGTACTTTCATTGGATAAGATCTACACTGTATGAATCAGATTCATTTATTATCTGATTGGTAATAAGAATCAAATGAATTTGAAAATGTATCTTCCTGATTCTGTTTCATGTGTGGGAGGCAATGTGTTATTTGGAGACATTTCTGGCAAATGTATTTGATGTACTGGTGTTTTGTATCAAAACTTTGGAAATCATGGAGGCATTCATACTTCCTTGCTGAAAGGATTTTTATTGAATTGTTTTGCCATCAGGCTTTGTTTGCTTGATCTTTGTCATTTTGTGGCTCAGGAATTAATGACTGGCTGCTAATTGTGACTCACGTGGTTTTACTCTCTCTATCAAAATGCATTTAAAATAAAATACAGACTGACAAAACCATGTGGGGTTCATTAAAAAATACTCAGAGCACAGTGAAACTTCATGCTCTGGAATTACACTTTCAGAAGCAACTTTATTTTGAAAGAAATCTCTCTCATATTCCGAGTTTCATTTCATCTTGCAGAGAAAATGTCTGGAATGGTTTCTCTTAAGTTCTCTGTTTCTTAAACTTAACACCACTTAGGAACCTGGAGCAGCTAGTTTATATGGATGCTAGGCACTCCATCATGTGCACATTACAGTTTCTGCAGGATAAATTCTTCACTCCCTTTGCAAACATTTAGTCACGTGCATTCAGAGGGCGTTTGCTAACCTATGAGCAAGCACTTGCACAAGGTAGGCAGTCAGTAAAACTGAGCCTGTACATACGAGCTCAGAAAAAGTCCAGTATGTGCAGTTGGTGGGATATTCAACATCCTGAAACGTCATGTAACAGAATCTGGTTTCTTCTTTTAAAAGTGTTCTCTGAATTACCTTAAACTTCTTCCTTGATTTCCCATTACTTTTAGTAATAAGACGTGGGGTTTTTACACATCTTTGCTGATTTAGGATTTGTCTGGGTGGTTCTGGCAGAGCCCCTTGTCATTTTTGGCTTGTCCTTTGTTTCAGATGTACATAACAAGCACAATTAAAACAAAGAGCAGCAGGCTAGCCAAACCTGTGCTGTGCCTGGGTACCCTGTGTGCTGCGTTCCTCACTGGGCTAAACCGAGTTTCTGAGTATCGAAACCACTGTTCGGACGTGATTGCAGGCTTCATCTTGGGGAGTGCTGTAGCTTTGTTTCTGGTAAGCTCATCAGTCCTTCCACATTCCTGTTAAAAATACCTCTGTTTAAAAAAAAAAAATAGTATTCTCTTGTGGCCTATTGCAAATAATTAATCCAGTTGCTAAGAACTAATTCTAACCCCATCTAATTAAAAGTATCATCAGTGAAAATCCTAATGTGAATAATTAATAAGGCTAATACGATGACATTTGCGCATTGTATATATTTCAAGATTATTTTAATCACTGTACATGTTCTTACTTGACGTGTCCTTGAAAATGTTTTAAAGATGGTGTCGATGTCAACTAATGTCAAAAGGGGGGCATACTTGAGACTCCTTCTCTGACACCTCTGTGTTGCAAAACCCCACTGTCTACCTGGTATCTGGCAAAAATTTAGGATGCAAGTGTTATCTGGGGCTCTAAGCAGTGTTCCTAGTTCCTCGTATTTTTTCAGACCGTGGAAGAAGTGTAATGGCAAGGAAGGTCAGGACAAACTTCCTGGGAGACAAAACTACCTCCCTTTGCAGCATTTGTAGTTCAGCTGAAGTTGTTCACCATCTCATAGAATTAAAAAAAAAAAGTCTTAAAACATATCAAAGGCCTTCCCAGAGAACCTAGGAACAGCATCTCTCTGGACTTCAAATATTAGTTACTCCCCTGTTGGCTGTGCAGTTTAAGTGTTGGGTTTGGTGAGAGATCTCTTGCCGAGGATTTACCCACACAGGAGTCAAGGTGATTCTCACTATCACCAAGAAATGTGCCTGGTTCCATTTAATCAAAATATACTTCAAAACTATCCCCTGCACACCAACAGACACTTTATCCCTGTAATCAGGAGGCATTAGGTATCAGAAATCCCTTAAATCTAGATTGTCCTGTCACTGATTCTGTACTTTTAAAAAAACGAAAAACAAAAAAACAACCCTTCACATAACATCCTGTGTTCCCGTTAAATAAAAAGACGTCTGCATCCTCTTATGAGAATCTCCTTGAGTTTAATGTAAGTAGTTTGTCTGATTCCCAGTGGGAAGGGCAGTTTAAATCTATCCCATGCAATATAATATGGGCACTCACCTTATATATTGGGTCAGGATAATCTGTGTGCTCCCAGTACCTGTTTCTAGCAGTCAGAACCTGCTCCCAGCCACATTGGGTGCAGTAAGGCTGGTCATGCAAAAGGGAACAGCTTGTAGGATAAACACCACAGCAGTTGTGCTGGAAGTATGCAGGAATGGTGCTAAATGAGCTTGATGTCATCCAGGTGTGAGGTAAATCCAGCCATTGAGTGAGCTGTTTTCCCTGTTTAGAAATGACAGTCAGAGTCTGAAGGGAATATCTGGCCAATAAAATACATCATCAGGGTAGTCCATGGTTCTGTAATGATAAAGCAGACATGGGAGTCTCTGTTGTATAAAACATAAGGCTGAGAGCGGTTAGGTTCATCACCCCAGATTAGAGGCCAGATGAACCCATTTACCAAGGCAGTCCACCACACCCAGTAATGCCAGTAAAGACACTGTAGCCAAAGGCTGAGATAGATGATGCCTTGAACCAAAACTCAGGTTCTTTGCAAAAACTGGCAATTGGGAGACCCCTGATGGCAATTCCTGTGAGTTTTTCCTGGGGACAGAACATGCTGAGCTCACCTTTTTTTCCTTTTTCCCTGCATTACACAGGGGATATGTGTTGTCCATAACTTTAAAGGCACTCACGGAGCTCCTTCGAAACCGAAGCCTGAAGACCCACGAGGAATGCCACTAATGGCTTTTCCAAGAGTGGAAAGTCCGCTGGAGACATTGAGTGCACAGGTACTGTAAATCCTCTCACCCAGACCATCATCAAGCACATTTTCTGTTATGGCAGAGTAAAAAATAGTTGTATACGTGACTGCACAGGGAGCTGGTTTTTTTTCCTAACTTTAAACCCATTGAACGGAGTGAATTTGTATCAGGGGCGAGTTTAAGACATTTATCCCTTGAACTAACAAGTGCTCTAGATCTTCTGCCCCTGTGCACATCCAAACCTAAAGAAGTAGGATCTCACGTGCCTCTGCATATCATTTGTAATAACAAAATTTTGCTTAGAAGAATAGAAAACTGAGATAAGAGTAAAGATAATTCTGTCTAATTACACTTTGGAATACTTTTGGGATGTCTTAAGGATTTATTCTAACATTCATAATCCTCAGGATAAACTATGCTGTCCAGGAAAATGTTACAGAGATTAGTTTATCCTTATTACTGTTCAGTATCTTCTCTAACAGGAAGTCATATACCGTTTTCTATCTCTAAGTCATCAGAAGATAAGTTTAATAGCATTCTTTCAAGTTTACAAAGAAATAGGGTAGCAGGAAAATCATTATTGACGGTTTTTCTGTTAGATTACTAACTTCAAATGGCTTATGCTGGCATAACTAAATCATATCCAGTCCTTTCAAAACACAGATAAGCAAATGACACCTGCCAAGAATTTCTGGGAACAAGGAGGAACTGTAGTTTTTCAGTTATCTGAAATGCCCTGGTGTAATTTATTTGTTCTTTAAATTGTATTAGATGGCTTGTCATTCCTGTGTACATGGTGTGTGGCAGGATCCATAGGAACTTTTGTTAAACCCTTTGACAAATAAACTGAAAATAGGAATTAAAAAAAAATGAAAAGACACCGGAAATATTTTGCTTAATTTAAAAGTCACTTGATGAGGCAAAGATTGCTGGAAGACTTTCAACTAGATCTGCAGAACTGTGTGAATTAACTGTTCTCTTGGTGGACTTGCAGTCCAGACATTAAGTTTTACTTGTATATCCACATTGCATTGTGTATGACAAAAGGGCTGAACAGGTTAAAATATTCACAGACTGTGAGAAAAATTTAGTCTAGTCAGCTATTTATAGCTTTGGGACTGTGAAGTGCGGGGACTGGGCCTTCACTGTTGATGTCCACTACAACCAACAAGATAATGTCCTGTGATTCAGCGTATCAGCCTCTAAATGACCATACATCTACCATGCAGGAGCAGACTGGGAAAGAAGTGATCCTACCCTGAAGCTATTATAAACAAGTCTTTCAGAGTGGCTGCTCATTCCTGTTTCTTCAGATACAGGAGGTGCATCGTCCTTCTCTGTGCAGATTTCTGCATCCATTCCCGCTCTCATTTTGCCTTGCACCCACACAAACCCAGCAGGTGTAGCATGATCCAAGGATGACTCGGTACTGCCACTGAAGTCCTGGACATTGGCTTCCAAGGATCAATCAACTCTCTTTCCACCTAAAGAGGACTTCTGTGTTGCTATATATCTGTGGCTGTCTGTGTTTTGAGATAATGACCCCACCTCTGTATGGTTTGAAGCTCTACATGTTCCCTAGGATCAAACTGTGTAGGATCTACATGCATGCATCACATAAAGCCACACCATGGTCCTCTAGGCTTTTTATGACTGAGGACAGACCCACTGTATCACTTACGTGACTGTGCGCAGTGCTTGAACCTGTACTGACATGTCCTTCTGGAGAGGATCCAGTCCAGTCTGAAATCAGTCTCTACTGAAAAAGTGTCGCCTTGTTTTTCAAGCCTGTTAGTGTTCATAGCCCAGAAGCAGGGCTTGAGTTCAGCATTCCCCACCACGAGCTCAGGATAGAGGCAGTCACATGTGCAGTGGTGCTTCATTTTAAAGCCCTACGTTACCTGGGCAACAGATTTTATTAGTGGAGGTTTTTCTCATTCATTTTACACACCAGGATATGTAAATGCCAAAACGTACCCGAATGTTCACGTTTGCCTTTTCCTCTTTGCAGAACCACTCTGCCTCTATGACTGAAGTAACCTGAGATGGAAGACCGGCAACAGAAGCTATTTTTTATTACCCTCCAGTACAACACTCCAAGACACACAGTTACTACATGTCTAACTGTGATGACCAGTATTATGTTATGTCTAGTTAGAGGCTAATGTTTTGTACTTTTTTTGTATGAGGAAGTGATGTAGCTTGCCCTGATTTTTTGTCAGCTTTAATATTATGATGCCAGAATTTAAAAGCAAAACGGAAAAAAAGAACAAAAAAAACCTTTTCTTGTTTAAAGTGTGCACTGAGGAACTACATCTATGGAATTGTTGATGTTGTTATGTGATATTTGTACACATTTTTTTTTTCATTTTTGAATTTATATATCTTGAAAAGAAAAAAAAAAAAAAATTCACTTTCACCTTTTCGTACCCTAAGAAGTGCTTCTACCAGTGGGTCAGGTTCTGATCTGAGTAAGCTCAGCATAAATCTGAAGTAATTGCATCTATTTAATTCAGATTAAAATAATGGTGATCAGGAATCTAACCCAAATGATACTGTCAACAAGTAATAAACATCCCTCCTTGATTCAGTGAGCTACTTAAGCATTCCTTCGCATTACGGACTTCAGGTAGCCATCCAGTGTCCAGGCTACTTGGCAGACTTGAAGTGTATCCTTAAGCACCTCCCTGAATCAAAGCCTGACTGTTCTGGTGTGGGTGATTGTGCTGGTTATTGAAGAATAACTGAAACAACGGACTCGGTCTGCAGTAGAGACAGGCTGGACATGAAGATTTATAGTAGTAGCTGATAGCATGTGAGCTGACTATATCATCTCCCTAGATCTCCGTTCCTCCCCGAGGCCCAGCTAAAGCTCCCAGTGAAACCTGGCTTCAGGAATTGACTATGGGGATATACAGCCACCACTGTGGAGCTGAGGCTGCGCTCTGAGTGTTTCATAACTTCATCATAGATTTGTGGGGTAACTAGTAACACGGGTGCAAAGGGAAAGCGACACCACTTCTCCAGTGGAGCAGCGTTACTTGGCATTCCCACTGGCATAGCCAAGAAGCCACTCTTGCCCCGACAGTGTCCTTTTCGCTGAGGGCTTTTGCAAGTCAAAAAAAAAACAAACCCCAAAACAAACCCCAAACTGGCACAGTCTGTAGTAGCAGTTGGCATTTTTTGTAAATTCTGCCATACAGAATTTATAGCAAAACTGCTATTTTACAGTTTAACAACTTTGTTTAAGGGGGGGGAAAAAAAAAAAAGGCAATTAAGGGGTGGGGGGGGCAGGGGGAGAACAAAAAAACGCCCATTTACAGTGGCTAGAACTGGGGCAAAGGCTTCATTACGTGACTTTTCACTGTTTCTAGGATTTTCCTGCATCTCATTCTCTAGCATGGTGATAACTGCTGTGTGTCTCCTTTAAAGAATGGAGCCTCTGTCTGTACTTTTACTGGAATGTTTACCTCACATTTCCATGTTGGTTCTTCTTGGCTTTTTTTGTATATTTTTTCCAAAACAGATGCAAAAAAAAAAAAAAAATTATCAAAAAAACCCCAAACCTGTAGCCTGGTCTCTGTCATTTGCCTGTGAGGCAAAGAAAATTTGGGATGTCTATCTGTGCCTGGTCTTGCAGTGTTTCTTCCAGGTTGGTATTTTCTTCTGACTCTACTGATGTCTGCTTCAGTCTCAGGAATATAAGGATCAGACTTGGGCCACGAGGGCTTTCTGTGACCATGAGGAAGCATCAATAGTGTTCTGGGTCCTTCAAGACAGCTTTGGTCCTTGTTCTGCTGTGTTAGGAAAATAATGACACGTTAAGAAAGCTTATCAGCAATGAATACTCCATTCAAGACACCCAGTCAGTGTCCCAAACAGCCTCTGAAGGAGACAAAGACACAGGTTTAGTTATTTATCACACCATGTTTTTCCATAAGCTACGGGGATTTGTGAACAGCCAGCCTTCCACAGCGACCAGTGAAACATCCCCAGTTCCCTCATGTTCACCCCACAGCGGAACATGTAGTGGCACACTTGGGCTATTCTCTAATTCCCCAGGACTCAAAAGTAGAAAATAAAGGGTTTCTTAAATTTAAGTTATGAGAAGCAGCACTTGAGAAGTTTGCTGAATACACTGAGCACTGTAGCACATAAAAGCAGTAGTTCCCAAGCGTGTTTGAGGTATTTGTATGCCAAGGGAAACCAGGGGAACAAGGGTCTAGGAGAGGGAGTGGAATAACCAGGGTGTTTCTGGATCATCCCCAGAAATATCACACAGAGAATCTGAACTCACTGTAACAGTTTTGCAGAAAACATTCACAAAGTACCACACGTTTCTCAGACTGCTGCATTTATTTTCTTGTCCTCCTGACTTCACTGCGTTGCCTCCTCTGACTAAAAGCAAACCTACATGATGAGTTACACGGGAAGAAAAACTCACATAGAGCTATTGACGTGTTTCTCCATAGCTACAGAAACTAACGTAGGGAAACGTTATCACAAAAACTTACTGACAGCCGTTAGAAGGAGCAACAGAACTTATAAATATGAATGAAAACGGGGTCCTTTGACAGATGTGGAAGAATTCTACCAGCTGCCTCCATGTCAGCTGGTTTTGTAGGGCTGTTGGGAGAGTTTGGTGTTACCTAGGTAAGAGATTTCAGAATTCCACTTGGCACTACCTTCATGTAGCAATTCTGAGCAAAACAAGTGGTTTTATTTAAGAGAGTACCTGTGATGGCTTTTAGAAACATTATTGCTGACAGAATCTTCCTTCCAATCTCAAGGAAAAATAGCAAAAAATAAAAAACCATGCTGGCTGACCTCCCCCCTCCTTCCCCAGGTTTGCTGGCCACGGTGGTCTGGGTGCCTGACTGCAGCGGCAAAAGCCCGTCACACCGAGCGGAACGGAAAACAACAAGTTTACGAGGTGCAGGGAAGACGCTGGGGAGTTGGTCCCACCTGACTGTCCCCACTGGAACCCATAACTGCCGGGCAGCGTGGTGAAGGCCAGCAAGCACACATGAGTACCAGCACTGACCACACTGCCTCACTGTCCCACAGGCAGAAAAACTGCTTGTTTCCATCTATATAATAAACAGAAACAGTGAAACCTGAAGACAGTCACGTGAACTTTTATTAGTGATATTTATATCTTCACTCGGTAGCCCAGTGCAAGGGCTCTGCTCCTGCTCTGCAGTCCTGCCCTAACAACACAACCACAGCAAAGCGACGCTCCGTGCTGCGACTCACTTCTCCCAGACAACCTTCAGGTTTGGGGGTAGCTCGGCAGCGCAGAGCTCATCAAACTTGGAGACGTCCTTCACGGGAGTGCTGTAGAAATGCAGGACATCCTCAGCGCTGCGCATCAGGTGGAGCTGGGAGTTGGGGACAGCGTGATCGAGTTCTGCCGCCAGCTGAGCCAGGAGGCAATACTTTAACTTGTTTTCTTTGAGGGGTGTCTGCTGCCAGTTATCAGGAAGTGAGGGTCCAAAAATCTCCCTGACCAGAGACTCGAGGCTGCTCTGTATATTCTCCGGAGGAAGATAGCTTCTGCTGCGAGGTGGGGGGCAGATCAGGCTCGGCTCACTTTTCTCTTCAATTATTTTCTCCGCTTCTATTTCTTTTTCCTCCTTCCTGTTGACACCAGACAGAAGTATTTTCAGTCTCTGGGTCTCGAGTCAGAGCACATTTCTATTAATAGTATTTTAATATCAGACTGAACCCAGCCTTTAGAGTTCACACATCCCTCGGACACAGCAGGTGTGTTATGCATGCAAGAACAAAAGCGCACTGGATAGGCCTGTGCTGTTTCCCCAAACACTGCTCCCCCCATAAATTGTCTCTATATAGTCATGATCTGTCTAGCTTATTTTATTGGTCTGAGTGTAACCAGAATTTTAACCTGATTAATGAGTTATTTTCCCAGTAACAGCTCTGTTTTCTAATCTGCTGTGAAAAAAAAGAGATAACAGAACCACTACTATAGAAAAATTAGTGCCTAGATAAAATAATCACTAGTTTTAACTAGAAAATGGAAGCCCACCCCAAGTTGACTTGCTCGTATGTCACAATCTAGTCAACAATGCCAGTATGGCCTCACCTAAAGTCACGCAGAACTACTATATTTCATTCCTACCGCGGTACTGCCCTGAAACATCACCGTTTCCACACCCAACAAGCGCCCTCAGCAAAGCGGGTGAGAACAATAAAAAACCCGC